GGGGGGCTCTACACCTTTTGTATCCATTCTTAGCACATTTCTGTAAGAAAGTTACTGAAAAACATTGATTAAAGGAACAAAAATGTATATTTTAGTTTCCAACCTCTGAAACCAGGCGACCCTGATCTCCTTCAATCGCAATTACTTCAATTTCTAACATAGATGGATTTTTTTTACAAGAAAGGAAGGCAAATGAATGATACCAAATGCTCAAAAACTGACTACGACGTGACACATATAGCCTACTCATTTACGTTTTTAACTTCTTATTAAAGGCAAAATCTTGATTAATTCTTCATAATTATGTCTGAAAATTTCAGATAAGATAGCGCACTCATTGTACAGCAAGGGAAATGCGTGGAAAGTAAAGTTAAGAATGTTTTATATCTTCAATTTGGAACTTATAGGAACATGTAACTTCATTTTGGAGCAACAGCAAGACATAATAATAAACAAAGGAGCAAACGAAACAGTCAACCCTTCTCTAACGACAAACTATTCAAGACCTGTACCAACGATCACTTCCCATTTCGCCAAAGAAATTTTTCTATAATAATAAGGACACTGTCAAATGGGACCATCTGTCTAGGAAAATCGCCTTTTACAAGTTGGGCTTTTTAAGAAATACACCCTGAACATACGATGAACAATCAACAAAATTCAAGCGTAGCTTTCGTGGACATGGATAATGTAAAAGCCACAGCTGTTGAATTGACCTTTTCACTGTTCGATGAGCTTGGTCTTTCTTGGGTGGGGGGGGGGGGTCTGTTGGGCTGTGCAGTGATGAAAGAATAAACACCAGGTGTTCCGTGGATCGTTCGTATGTTCGTTTGTTTGTTAGTTTGTTTAATTTTCGCACAGCGAATGTTATCATCTCTTGGGGCGGCTCTTTCACTGGGCAAGACCGGTCACTTTTTGGTTGCTGTACAGTGGACAAGAGATTTATTGCTGATGACAGTTTTTATTTAGTTTCCAGTAAATATAATTAATATCTAATCAACGTTCAAAAAGC